TCTTTTACACTCTCCTCTTTATATTTTCATAAATTACCTTTAATCATATTTTTCTTTTCACTATTCTCTCTTTTTTGTTGAATTCTTATTATTTAACATACTAATAGTTTTTTTTTTTTTTTTTTCAGATTTTTATACATTGATTATAAAGTAATGTGAGATAAATTTTGTAATTTATACTTTTTATCTTCTTTTCTTTTTAAAATTCTTATTATTTGATATAAATTTTTTCTGTTATTTTTTTTATAGAAACAGTAACTTATTTTTTAAATAATTAAAGTTAATGCTAATTTTAATTTTATTTATGATTATTTATTACTTTTTATATTATTGTTAAAATTGTTTGATAAATATATTGCTAGGTAATTTAATAATTGTGTTTGTTTTATTGATTTTTTATATAAAATTAACAGAAAATAATATAAGATTTTTAATTTCAGATTTTGTTAATTTTTTAATTTTTCTTATTTTACTGGCAAGTATATTCGACAGCATATTGCTATCGAATATGGCATTCAAATAAAAAAAAAACATATTTGACAGCTAATGGTTGTCGAATATAATTTCAAAAAAAAAAAACATATTCGACAACCATTAGCTGTCGATTAAACAAGTATCTTCGACAGCTAATGACTGTCGAATATAATCTCAAAAAAAAATAAAAAACATATTCGACAGCCATTAGCTGTCGAAGATACTTGTTTAATCAACAACTAATGACTGTTGAATATAACCTGCTAAAATTATAAAACTGGTTACGAAATTTTGTCGATAATAATTATATTCGACAGTAAGTATCTGTCGATTTAATTAGTATATTTGACAGATAAAATTTTTGTTGAATATACTGATTATCGACTGTATTTTATACGACATTTTTTTTTGTCGAATATATTTGTCGATTAAGGCATAATCGACAAAAATTCTTATACATTTGACAGAAAATTCTGTCGAATATACCGCGTTTTCCAGTAGTTATTAAGAAAGCAAAATTTAAATGTGGAGATTAGTAAACCTTGCAAAGAGCTAAAACCATGCCTTTTGCTACTGAATCAAACTAACAGATCAGCCTGAATCACGCTTTCTTGCTAATAGAAAATTTTCTCAACAGACTGCTTTCTTCTCTTTGTGCTGATGGAATTATTCATTGTTTTTCATTGATTTCGTTAAGAAATTTAAGCGAATTTCTGGCGATCATCTTCTAGAGTGCAAGAATGAAAAATTTTCTAGAAATCTAGGAAACCAATGCTGTTGAAGAAAAACTGATGCCTCGAGGCCATTGGCGATGAAAGAAGGCCGCCGCGTAACATCTTGTCGAAAGCCCTCGCCGCTCCGATTGGATTTCTCATTATTTTCAGCTCTGACCAGTGTGCGACGGTTTTTGCGCCGGCGAGGTTGTGGGTATTGATTGGATATTTGCTTACTGTCACCGCCACGGCAGCGTACGTTAACGGCATGGACAAAGAAATACATACCTTTTTTAACTCCTCTTTTGTGGTATTATTTTAGGGTGCAGTATATAGGATGCAGTATTTAGGGTGCGTTTTGGTGTAACTTTGTGTTTTAGTTTTTTAATATTATTTATATTTTATAAGTTTAAATTTTTTCCTTAAAAATTTAGATTTTTAAATATTTTTTTAATCTTAAAAAGATTATAAACAATAAAATATCAAAAGTTTCAAATTGAAACTTTTTATAAACTTATTTTTTATTAATTTTTTACTCATTTTTTTCTATCTCTAAAAGCAACTTTAAAATTTTTTTTCTAATAAAAACTTAAATTTATAATTCATTAACAGTAAAAAAAGCAAAAACTCCAACAAGCTGCACCAAACAGGCCCTTAATTGTCTAAAATAATATATATATTATTTTTTTATAATTAAAAGTGAAAATTAAGTATACTTATATTATTTTTTAATCTTTCAATAAATTATATATATTTTATAAAATTTTATTATTTTATTATGTTATAAAAACTATTAAATTATTAATAAATTTTAAATATATAATAAAAATTTTAAAATTTATTAAAAATTCTTTTAAAATCTTTAATAAATTCTTTTAAAATCTTTAATAAATTATTTTAAAATATTTATAAAATCTCAAATAAATACCAATGAATCTCTTTTAGGAAAATATGAACCTATCAATTGTAACTTACTTTGAATAAAAATACCAATTGTAACTTTGACATCATTATTATTATAATATAACTATACTAATTAATTAATATATAAAAATAACAATTGTATAAATCTTATTTTGACATTATCATTATAATATAATTTTACTTTAATTATTTTAACTATATTTTTAATAATAATACTTATATATACATTTTAATATTATATCTTATTTTACTACATTATAAAAATTATTAAACTTTTAATAAATTTCAAATAAATATTTAATGAAAATTTTAAAATCCCACTAAAATATCAAATAGATAATCAATGTCCTTTTAAAATCTTTTTAAAATCTCAAATAAATATCTAATGGATCTTTTAAAGAAAATACATTAAGAGGTTAAAACTAATTAAATTAAATTAATGCTCTTTCAAATTTCTTGATGAGTATAATGCATATAGTTTTTTATTAAATTAATTCTCTATATAATCTTATTACATTATAAAATTTGTTAAAATTTTTAAGAAATCCTAAATAATTACATAATGAACCTTTTAAAATATCTTTACACTCTCAAATAAATATTCAAAAGATCTTTTAAAGAAAATTTATTAAGAAAGTTGAAGACTCATTAAATTAAATTAATACCATTTTAAAATTTTTTGGCACAACACATGTAATTCTTATTAAATTAGTCCTTCTTGTATATTAATTAAAATAAAAATTTATTTACACAAAAATTTTGGAGTGAATATGGACATTTTATCAAATATATGAAGATAAGTTAACCAATGATATGGTAACCAAAAACAATGAACCAAAGAGTATGAGTAAATGAAAAAGTATTAAGAGGATAATATTAATGAGTTATATCATTCATATTTTGAGTTAAAATCTTTTAATATGGACATTTAAAAAAGATGGGACAAATTGAGATAAAAAAAATATAATATTAATCGTTATAGATGAAGAGATAAAGAAATTAATGAAGATTTTGATTAATTACTTAACATGTTTTTTTCAAAAAAATTTAGTTGATATAAAGTCAGATATTATTCATAATGAATTAATATATGTTTAAAATATTTTTTCTATTCATCAGCTAAAACTTAATTTTAATTATAAATCAATATTATTATATTTAATAATTACTAAAAACAAAAGTATAATATCAACAAAGGCACATAGGGGGATTTTAAAGTCTAGTTTTTAAATATGAAAAGTAAAAATTAAGGCATTTTGATATTTTCTTCTTTTAAAATTATTCAAATACGTATCTTTAATAAATGTTACATGTTAATTTATTATAGCTATTTTAATTTTTTTCAATGTCATTCTTGACATTTTCATTGTTAGAATATCTTTGATTTTCCTTAATTTTTTTTATTACTATTAGTTTTTGTTGTTGAAAATTTAATAATATCAAATTAAGATAGAAAACTAATTATATTGAAATTAAATAGTTCTCAGTTTAAATAGTTCAAATATTTATAAAAGGCTATTAGTATTTATCATTAAGATCTATATAAATTTAAGCAAAAAATATTTTAAAAATATATTGTTTTAATAAAATATCAAAAAAAAAAAAACAATATTATTCTTGGTTGAAAAGGTAGGTTATTTCTTTCTTTTTCAATGAAAAATTATTAAAACATTTTTTTAACCCAATTTTTTATTAGTCCAGCAGAAATATGTATATATTATAAAAAAAACATAGATTTTGCCAACTTATAGTTACATTAATTGCATTTTTTTTACTAATTATTGAAAAAAAAAAATCTAGCTTTAATTGTACTAACTTCCTAATTAAAAACATCCATATCGCAATTGTTCTATACCGCTATATATTGATATGCAGATTTAATTGTGATCCATTGTTGAGTTGTTAATTTCAAAGGAATTCCTTCATTCTTATATGATAAAAAAAAAAATAGAGACAATTCCCTTTTCATCCACAGGTAGACCACTCAACACCCCATCATCCCACCTTTAATTAAAAGACCCATGCCTCAATATTGGCATCAGGCAATGCAAGCACATTATAGCAATCAGCAAGTTGCGTTAATCGTACGCATAAAATGCATTCAACTGATACTAAAATTATCAAAATACAAGTTTCATAAAAAGAACTTTCACAAAACACTATTCAAGAACTGTTAACATGACACTTATTTTTTGCTTGAACGGTTACAATTGTGTAACACATGTTTAAAGGGAAGAAAAAATTGGTATGCCAGGCAATGTGGTCCCAGCATCAACAATGAACACGTTGCCAGACACATATGCAGAAGAATCATGGATTAGGTATCGGATAAGCGAGGTTAATGCTGGATCAGTGGTGCCAGATGTTCTTAAAGGGACAGTCCTCCAAACCACATTTCTCAACCAGTCTTTCTGCATAAGAGCATCTGTGATCTCTGATTTAAAAATTCCAGGTGATATTGAATTCACTCTGATGTTATGCACCCCCAATTCCAAAGCCATGACCTGGATATCTTCATTGTCATTTTCTATTCTCCGAGGTGAAAGAAGTGCATATTGAATCAAATATAAACATATTTATCATCACAGCGTGAGTCTTTCAATGGTAAAATTCTAATTCTATGTTCCTTACACTTGGCTTCCACCACCATGAGAAAGCAACAAGTATTGTCAATTGTGAAAGAATAACTACAACTGGTATGAAAAACATTCTAACAGAGAGGCCTTCTCCTCCTTGAATGCATACCCTTATTACTCCAACTTGGTGATCTTGTAAAAGCTACGCTTTGTGAAGAATAAAGTGAATTTTCAAAGTAATAGAAACTATGCAGAAATATTTGACTAGAATATGCAATGCAAGATAAGTAAGCTGCAGTTCACAGGTATGAAAACATTACCAACCACTTCATTATTTCATTGAACTGCATATACTTATGCATATTCAAATGTCTACGTAATTTAATGACTGAAACTATTATTAAGTATTTAACTGGATAAACAAATCGACAATCTATAATCGGTGGCTACTTATAAAACTAAACATGTACCTGCTAGCAAGACGTACTATAAATGGTCTGAGTCGAAAATACTTTAACTTTAATATTTTGTTATGCACTTCTCCTTCTACCAAACCTGGAAAATATCAAGGTTATTTGTAACCACCACTTCTTTGTTCCTACAGCAGCAATCTCCGACTTTTCCCGTTTTAAACAATTCTCATCTGTAGCACACTACTAAAGGTACTATCACCATGACATACTCAATGCTTACAGATGTACCCAACATAAGAACTCGATAACCATGCATCAATCTATGCAAACAATGCAACCATCACTTTTAAACAACAAATAACTCCATGTAATGTTTACCTTTGTCATGGCGTTTACACCTGCCTTTGCAGAAGCATAGGCAACACTCCCATGGAATTGCACACGATTAACGCCCAAAATGGATGAAATGTTGATCACTGATCCCCCTCGATTCGAATCACGCATTCGAATGCAGACATATTTTGACACCAACCATGACCCTTTTAAATTAGTCTTAAAAACATGGTCCCACTCCTCCTCAGATAATTCCAGAGATGTCTTCACATTTTCTTCAAGGTAAAAATTAACCGAAAAAAAAAGGAGAGAAATTTCACAAAATGAAAACAATATAATAACAAAATTCACAATATTTTGTTACCAATTTACAATTTTTATAAAAAAAAAAAAAAGTGTAGAACCCTAATTCGAAAGGCAAAATGGTTTCCCCTGTCTTCACATTATCTTCATGGTAAAAATTCACCAAAAAAAGGAGAAATTTCACAAAATGAAAACAATATAATAACAAAATTCATAGTATTTTATTATCAATGATAATTTTTATAAAAAAGATTGTGTAGAACCCTAATTCGAAATGCAAAATGGTTTCCTCTCACATAATTCCAGAGTTGTCTTTACATCACCTTCATGGTAAAAACTCACCCAAAAAAAGAGGAGAAATTTCACAAAATGAAAACAATATAATAATAAATTTTGCAGTATTTTGTTATCAATTTATAACTTTTATGAAAAAAATGTGTAGAACCCTAATTCAAAAGGCAATCAGTACTTTGTTACCAATTTATAATTTGAGGTCTAAGTTTTACAATACAAATTTTATATTAAAAAGTGTAATTTATTTATAAAGTTATTTAAATATTTTTAACAAAATAATATAATATAAATTTATAATATAAATTGTATTTTTAATATACAGTTATATTATAAAATAATTTTTTTAAATTTTTATTTAAAAAATATGTAGAACCCTAATTCAAAAAAGGCAGAATGGTTTTCTGACTCTTAAATTGAAATCAAACCAAACATTTCCTACAAAAGAAAACGAATTTTGCAGAAGAAATTTCAGAAATTACCTCTAACCCCAGCGTTATTAACCAAAGCATCGATCCTGCCAAACGCGTTCCAAGCCTGCTGTACGGACCTCTCAATGGTGGCACCGTCAGCGCAGACGTCGAGCTCCAGAGCGACAGCTCGGCGACCGACAGTACTGTCAGGTTCGGAGGAGTGAAAATCGTGGCGATTGATCTCATCACAGAGTTCCCTGAGCCGGTCGACGCGGCGAGCGGCTGCGATTATCCGGCATCCGGCTTTGGCCAAGCTGAGAGAGAACTCGCGGCCTAAGCCGGAGGAGGCACCCGTGACTAGGACAACCTTGTTGGTGAGGCTGTTCCACGGCTCCAATTGCATCGCCATTTTAGAGTCTGATGATGGTTGTCCATTGAGCGCCGGTGGCGAATTTATGGGTGTCTGGAAGGTTAGGCCGGATAGAAGGCGATACTCAGTGGAGTTGCATATGGTAGAAACTTGGCATTTCACGTCTCCAGTCCACATGCAAAAAGTGGGAAGTAAGAACAGGACGGAACACACTGAGTATCGCTCACTTCTCACTTTTTGCATGAGTACCGGTGTTTACACCATAAATTATAAAAATTTAAAATCATGTCACGTGTCAAAATATTTTTAATGGATGAAAAAGATTAAGTCATATCAGATTTGTTATTATTGGTTCCATAACAGATTAGCTATCACATTGACAGAAAAAAAAAAGATAAAAATAAAATCTTACTTTGTAATTATCTCTTTAAGTAAAAAAGAGACTATTTTAGCTGAAATTTAAAAGAAAGTTGTATTTATAGAAGACAATTATCTGATAAGGACATAAGTGGCGAAAATCTAGAAAGAGAATTGACTAGATCAACTATTAAACTGTCTTACTAAAACTACCCACAACTTTGTAACACCAGAAAGTGGGGAGTTACTGCTGACCAAAGGAGAACAAAAAGGAAATTTTAGAAGAGAGAACACACGGCTAACCCAACTCAAAACATGCAAATTTTCTTTCATTTTCTCTGCAATTGCTTACGGATTTTGGATTTCAACACAATTTTTAGTAAATCTAGGTTGTTTTTCATCATTCCAGTAGATAAACTAGTTCGAGTACTTGCTTCAGCAATTTCGTTTCATGTAATGAACTTCAAGTTCTTAAATTTCTTCAAGGTACTATTCCTTTTCTGACTCTAATTAATTTAATGTTTATGATAAGTAGTGTTTTATCAAATGTTTACTTATATAACGTTCACGCTTTTTCTCAATTTCAAACATGTTACTTTAATCACTGTTCATGTTTACTTTAGTTTTAATTAGAGTTAAATCTCCAATTCTACAGTAGTTTAATTTCCAGATTTGTTAGTAGATAACATTTTAATTTAACAATGAACATGTTTAGTTTAATTTAGATGCATCTCATTCTCATAAATTTATTTTAAATTGCATGATTTTTAGTTTAGTTAGGATTTGATAGCTTTAATTCACGGTAGTGTTTAAGTCCTTGGAGTTGTCCAAGGTAGATTTCATAACCCATTCTGCAAGAAGGCATCCCTCCCTCTTGCAAATCGTCTGTAGGCATAGATTTCAGTTTTAATCCAACGATCTTCCTGCCATGTACAAGGAGGTCAACCGTGAGGAAGGAGAGGGTCGTTGGGAAAATTCTTCTTTCTTACTTTCAACAAAGTAAGTGGCATGCCCGCATCCAGATTTCACACGTGCGAGGCCATTAGAGGATTTTTGGGGAAACAACTAGAGACTCAAACCTGTGGAATTTACTCATTGACGTCGACTCAGGGAACTTCGGTTGTCAGCCGAAAATGAATTGCTGGTTAACTAAGGTTCGGTTTTGTATATATGTGTTTTCTCAAAAATCCTCTAGTGGTTTGGCACGTGCAGGATTTGGATGTGGTCATGCCACTTACTTTGTTAGATGAACCACATGTTCCCATCGTTTGCTTGGAGATCTAGGTGGTGGTTTCACCATTCTAAGCTTTTTTGCGTGTTCAGATATCACAACTCCTTGATCTACATTTTTTTTTTTTTTTGCTGAATTGGGTTGTGCCCCTGTGCTTTCTCCTTTGGGATGGGTCTGGTCTGATTTGATTTCTGCGCGCCCTTGCCTCCTTAATGACCCATCTCAAATCATCAGCTGTAAGTCTGTGCTTGAAGTATAGTTGATTTTATGCCTCGGCGACAAGTTAATTAGACAACTCTTTTTAAGGTGGTAAAAAATTTCACTAGTCTTTGAAACATCAAAAGCATATTAATTTCCAGCCTCACTAACATAATTCTTTACTGTTTTGTTAATTTGTTGGGCCACTTTAATTAGATCTGGGCAAATAACTAGCTTGTTTCCCACCACTTCTGTCACGTCCAAATCAAAGTTTGCATTACCATAGTAAGTCCCATGAGATGAAAATTTCCTTTGTGTGTCCTCACACAATAAATTTTCATAACGAGCCACCTTGTAAGACAACTTAAAGAAATCACGAAACTCTATTCCCTCAAACTTTTTCCTTAACTCAATGTCCAGACCATTTTGCGCCAGCTTGACAAACTCTTGTTTTGGTAAGGCAACTCTGCACTTAAGTCTAGTCTTCCGAAATCTAGCAAGAAAGGCCTCAAATGTTTCTCCACATCGCTACACCAAACAAAATAAATTTATCATGGACACTTCTGGTTCATTACGATAAAATTGGATATGGAAAAGATCTTCCATCTGCCTCTAGGTATAAACTGAATTTTGTGATAGACTCAGATATCAGGTAAGATAGACTCAAATATCAAGTAAGAGCTGTACCAATTAAAAAGTTAAGAAAAAGTCAAGTTTCAGATTATCATCATCGGAAGTCTCGTCACACTAAATCGTGAAGCAGCCTATGTGTTCAATTGTAGAATATCCACCATCTCCAGAAAATAAGGTGAATTTTGGAACCTTAAATCCATTTGGAAAAAGGATTCTCTTGGTCTATAAAATCTGGATATGGTTTTCTGTAAACTGGTCTGACTAGAGGCCTTAAAACTGGACCATAAGCCTCTTGCACCAAATCAATGATCTGATTATGATTGATGTATTGACCTGGCAAACCTTGAAGATTTTGTTGCATAAATGGCATATAAGGTTGGAAATGCTCTCTTAGTGGAAGTGCATTATGCTGTGGGTGTCCTCCATTTGGTCGGCGTTAAAGTGGCAGGTATCTGGGCTGTTGGGGATTGCCTAGTTTTGCTACACGTGGTGCAGCCTCATCAGATTCTGGTTGCATTGGTTTGCTTGCTGCTTGCTAATTCTGGGGGGTTGGCTGTAGCAGATTAACTTGCCTCTCAAGTGTTGGAGTTGGAATATTCTGATTCTACCTTTGAAGATCTGCTACTTGTGGTTGAGGTTCAATTCTGGCACATTGAAATGCTTCCTACATTCATTCTGTTTTAGCTTGAAAACCTTTCCAATTTTCTACATTTTGTTTACACCAAATTCTTGCACTTTCTGCATTAAAGCGTCGCATGTCAACTACACTTTGAGCTACACTTTGAACCAAATTTTGAAAAGACTCATCCAATTGTTTAGCGATCGCTTGGCTTCTTTGTTGGGCTCTTTCCTCAGATTCCAACTGTGTTCGCCTCATTATGTTAATCTGTTCTGACACAGTTTTATAAGGGAGTCACCAAATTGAGTAAAATCATCTCTAGATTCACTATATTTGTTGAAGGTTGGATTGGCAAAATAGTACTTCCCAAGTATTGGTGATAATGGTGGTGGAATGATTGGTTCATTCTCTCCTTCTAAGTGTGCTAGACTACCTTCATTAAGCCCAATCTGTAAAGTCTAGGCAACCTTCTCAATGTTTCTTTTTTGGTGGCATAACTACACCTTTTCTTGGATAAAGGAACAACGAATCTGAAAACTGTAAGTAAGACATGGTAAAGTCCCACTAGGCGTGCCAAAAAAAAAATTGTTTCCTAAAAAATCCTCTAGTGGCCTCGCACATGCGAATTCTAGATACGGGCGTGCCACTTACTTTGTTGAAAGTAAGAAAGGAGGATTTTCCCAACGACCCTCTCCTTCCTCATGGTTGACCTCCTTGCGGGTGACAAGAAGAACATTGGTTTAAAGCTAAAATATGCGCCTACAAACAATTTGCAAAAGGGAGAGATTCCTTCCTACAAAATGGGTTACGAAATTTGGCTTAGATAACTCTAAGAACTTAAAACACTATCGTGAAACAAAGTCAACAAATCTTAATTAAATTAAATAACATGTAATCTAAAATAAATTTGTGAGAAAAAAATGTACCCAAATTAAATTAAACATATTCATTATCAAATTAAATTGTTATCTATAGATAGATTTGGAAGTTAAACTACTGTAGAATTGGAGATTTAGCCCTAATTAACACTAAAACAAACATGAACAGGAATTAAACTAACATGCTTGAAATTGAGAAGAAGCATGAACACTATATAAGTAATCATTTACGCTATATAAGTAATCATTTGAAGAAACGCTATTTATCATAGACATCAAATTAATTACAGTCAGAAAAGGAATAGTACCTTGAAGAAATCCAAAAGCTTAAAGTTCATTACATGAAACGAAATTGCTGAAACGAATACATGAATTAATTTGATTACTGAAATGACAAAAAGCAACATATATCTACTGGAAATTATGCTGAAATTCGAAATCTATAAGTAGTTGCAGAGAAAACAAAAGTCTAAAAATTTGTAGGTTTTGAGTAAGGCTGGCTATGTGTTCTCGCTTTCAAAATTTCTCTTTTATTCTTCTTTTTCTGACTGTAACTTCCCACTTTCTGCAGTTACCAAATTATAGGCAGTTTTCTTGAAGAAGTGGGACATCTCAGCAATTGATAGAGTCAAATTGCCTTCCAAATTTCGTCACCTATCCTATTATCTCATAACCCATACCCATAATAGAAACCTTCTTCTAAATTTCAATTAAAACAAACTCAATTTAACTCAAAAATGTAATAAAAATATAAAATCTTATCTTTTTACCTCATTTCTTCCAATATGGCAG